TTTATTGTGTCCCACTTAAAGCTGCAGTTTGAAACTAAGGTCAAATCAGGATGCTGAAAGGAAGTTTATGGAGATGAAATGTTTCAGACTGCATATGGCAGTACCACTGACCAGGAGATGGCAGGCATATCTCAAAACAGATCAACCTTAAATTGTTCAAAACTGTAAAATCCAAATAAAGTAGATTTTTTTTAAAAAAAAAGAAAAACAACCCACCACAAAACCAAAAAAGCAGTGCAATATCCTGAATACAAGGGAAATAACTTGGTAGGTATAGAGCAAGTTAGTAGACATTGATTTTGGTCAGAATAGCTGAACAGAATGTTTCTGATCAGTGCTTTAAATTAATAATAACAAAGTGAGGAAGTGGTATAAATAAATTCTAAAAATTTCCCCTCATTTATTTTAAAACATAAAATCCAGTTGCCTAATTGTGAGAGCTGGAGGAGTTAATTGTCTCTCTCCACAGAGATTTCTCAAATAGATCTCCCAGCTAGTAAACTTGATGTGTTTCAGTCCTGTCTTCCATGGGTTTCCATGGTATTAGGCTCTATTCCATGCTTGTTATCATTATGTTGATAAATGAGGTTTGGATCACTTAGTTACAGCTGGGTTATGTGTAACTCATAATGGTTAGTTGTTGAAAATTTTTGTGTTCTATTGCAGTTCTGTGTGCAAGAAGTTCACTGGGAACATCCCCAAAATAAAATGCACTGACACTAGCATACACTCAAATAAGGATACTGGGGAAACATTACTAAATCATAAGAGAAGGCAATTAAAAACCAAAACAAAACTAGTACCTTTGCAAGTATATGAACAAGTTCAGTTGTTAGCAGGAGGGCAGTGCATACAACTCTGAAAGCTCTACTAACTTGTGCTTAGAGCTTTCACTTCGCATAAAAAAAGTAAATAAAAATAGTTAATTTCTAGTGTTTAACAAGGAAGCCACAAAATGAAAATAACTTGTCCCACAGAAATGTTAACAAATGTGTTGAGATGTGTTTGCCTTTCCCCTTTTTGTCAGCAAATCCTGCTTTGAGGCCACACAGGGAATTGAATCAACCGATCTATCACAAGAAACTTGTAGTGGTGCATCAGATGGGAAGGGGAGAGCAGGCAAGAATGAGCAGTTGGGTAGGGAGAAGGCAGAACTACTTATTTTGCCTCAAGAATTATTAGAAATTTTTATTACAGTGATTTTTTTGCCATGCTAGTCTTTTGTTTCTGTGTTGTTCTTTTCCCATGTCAGAAGGTCCACAAAATGAACGTTAAGCATTCAGTGACAGTATTTGAAGTTCTTGTACTTCATATCTTTTTTTTTTCTTTAGTAGGAAAAGAAAATCTTTTCCTATACCACAAAGAATGTTTTTGCCCTGGTATGTTACATATGTGTATGTAACAGTGGCCCATAGTCTTATTTTCATCCATGAGCCTTATTTTCATTCATGAGATGTTTTCCTTCCAGATTAAAAAAGAACCATGTCTAAATGACACATTTTCCTTAGAACATGTATGTCACTAAAACAATGTGAAAACACAGAAGTAGAAAAAGCAAGCATGTTAAAAAATAATCCCCTACTGAATATATTGGCAGCTGCTGGTATTTAGTAAGGTGACTAGCATCTGTGAATGTTTTATGTATATACACGTACGCTTTATATTTCTGAGAGAACCCTCCACTGTGAGGTCCTCAACTGGAGGAGTTGTTTGCTGATGAGATTGGCCTTTTATTCTATATGGAAGCTGTTGATTCTTAAAACCAGAAGAGACACAACCCATAAAATAAATTATAGGATATTCTGCTGAAATTTTTCAAAAATTTTCTTCCTTTTTGAATTGAAATACAGCTGAGACTGGAGTTGGTTATACATGATACATTACTTCTCTTAATCCTTACTATAAAATTACTTGATTACTGAACTGATCTGAGTGCCAAATAGTTTGTGCTATAATTTAGCTGCAATTTTCACCAATCTAGTTGTTTTTATGTAAGAACAGATAGTTACTGCAGTACCAAAAAGCTTAGTTGTTTTGAATGCATTGATGAGAAAAGAAATACATACCACAAGTAGTTTTGTTAGAAAAATAAGGTAATTTACAAAGTTATACAAACTGTCTGAAAAGTTTTAGTAGTAGTAAGTCTTTACGCTCAACTGAGGAGGATTAATTTTGTAATTTGCAAGATCAGGAGGGACTATACACAGTGCCCTCACTTCCCCAGTTACTGCTAGTTGTGGAGTCTGCTTAATAATTAAGCTACCAATATGCCTCACACTTTAAAAGTTATTTTCATTTGTGTAAGACTGACATATTACTTTTGTTCTTCAGGAGACAGATAAATAACTACATACTAGTAACAGTGCCATTAAATACTCTGTGGACTGGAGATGAAGTTTAATAAGCTGCAGAGGTGAAGTTTGGAAAGCAGTAGAGAAACTGAAACAAACTTCCAGGTAAGTTCATAATTTTTGCCTTAAAAAAAAAAAAAGAGACGTAATTGTTTAGAAACATATTCCAAGCTGAAGACATGAGTTTATTTAATGTCTGAGACATTTGCATTTAAATACAGTAAAAAAAACCCCACATCCCAAACAGTTTACTGTATGAGTCTCCAGTATTCATATACCACGGTTTACAAAAAAGAAAACACTACATCTAAATATGAAGGTTTTATTCCACATAAAATATGCACAATTAGAGAATCACTTAATAAAAAGCTGTAACTCAAAAGTAAGAACAATAAATTACTAGAATACTGTGTTATTAAAAGCTTGATTTCCATGTAAACTTCCCTTGTTATTTAAAAGATCTGCTCTGGCAAGAAAATAATTGGTTTCTAGTAAACAAAATACCTGATCTATGGCAGTTAGCTGTGTCTTTTAACATAGAATGCACATCTAAGCTACGGAAATTCACTTAAGAATTACATAAGTAGCTGTACAATGTTTTTTAAAAGTCTGCTTTCCTGAAACTGTGCCTCTTTTGCTTAGTAAACTTAAGTAAACTACCATCTAACTACTACTTGTTTTAATAGATTTGTCAACAAGTGTAGCAGCATTAAAGAGTACTGAAAGCAACTTAATTTATTCAGATTTCATGTATCTTTTGACTTGCAGTAGGATTTTATTTTTTTTTTGGTACAAATTAGTTATATAACAGGAAAGGAAACTATCATGCTCTGAGAGATAGCTGTATACTAGCAGTTATGTAGTTTCTATTTAAAATTCCTGTGGAGAACAGAAATGGATAATACCACACTTCTATTAACAGCAGCTAAAATATAATATTTGTATTAATTCTTTTACCAATTAAAACACTTCAAAGATATTGTAATTAACAGTAGGAAATAAAAGTATTTAAGTACCATAACTGAGAAATAGCTCGTATTAATCGTATTCAATCACAGTATTCAAGCTTTAAAATATGAAGTTTCTTTAAAAGCACAAATAAATATTATTAATAGCTCTACTATAGATTTATGGAAAACAAAGCCTGCTTTTCCTAACTTAATGTATTAAATATGGCCTACTTATACTTCAGTAAAATAATGTCAGACATCACTGAGCAGAATTAGAAGCATTCAGAGCTTTCAAAAATGGCCACATTATTTGTATTTTTATTTAATCCAGGCCATACTGATAAACAATACAACTAATCATAACAAAATTAAGGTCATTTGCAGTTTACAATTAAATACAGCAGAGCCAAGCCTGAATTAGAACTGTGTCACCTAACACACCCCTTTAAAAATTGATTCTTTCATAATTCTCAACAAAAATTTTAGGAGATCTTTCCTCTGTCTTGCCTGTCAGGCAAATTGCTATTTGTGCAAATTTAAATACAGTACATTGACCTTAATGTAACAGTGGACAGATAGTGAAGGAAGAAGTGTTCAACAAATCTGCTGCACAGTAAGACTTTTTCAGAGTGCAGAGTATGTCTACTATAAAGTGCTTCTCTTAATAAATTACATTGATAATAGTATAGATGTTTACCTAGTTTTAAAGCGTAAATTGCTTAGTAAATAGTTTAATCTCCCCATACCTCCCCAATCCCGCAAGGCACATTCAAAACACAAGCAAAGCACTAATTAACTGTGAAAGATTAAGCTACAATAAAAAGTTCTTGAGTGGTAGTAAACTGCTGACTAGGTTTGTAAACAGTACCATCCCATTGAATCTCCAAGTTCATGCATTACTGAAGTAAATTTCTTTGAAAGCAGCTTTTTAACTCCAGATGAACAATCAAGCCAGCTTTCTTTGTAATACACTACTGTGCTTCAGTATTTTGATTTTGGAATCCCACTTCTTTTGTCACTTGCATGAAAACGCCTCTAAACTTAATTTACAGTTAACACAACTGATTACTGGCTGTTTAGATCTATTCAGTGTTTTTTTAAATGCATGTGAAGTTCACCTCTACTGTTCAAGTTTACAATGAAGTTATGTTCAACGCTCTCAAGAGGTTTTGGTTATGTGAAAACATAGCGGGGCTCTTTTGTGGGGGCCTTAATTTTGACTTGATGTTAATTTTGACTTGATAGAAGTAATTAGCTTCTATAAGACTAAAATGGTAGGTAGGATCACACTGAGTAATTAATTTCTTCAGGTTAGTTTTAAGACCAACTTTTAGAACCTTCTTTAGAAAAGAAGTTACATGCAAAGTACATCACCACAAGTGATCTCCTGTATAAAATACTGAAATGGGATTTACTTAATCATGCTTCCAAAAATGTTTCACAACTTAAAAAGCAAGTAATTCCACTAACATCAGGTAGAGCTTACAAAAACAGTCCAGGTGCTCACACAAGGTATGCATAGCTACACATTGCCTTCATACCACAGAAGATGAAGCTACATGAGCAAAAGGCATTCCATCACTTTTCAAAAATTTCACATTGAGTTCATTTCAGCTCTCACAATTCTTGCAACAGAGCAAACAAAACCAGAAGTATGAACACCAGAGTTCCAAGTTTTCCTCCTGTTTGTCATTCTAGTTTAGCGTTTTATCACCACCTGCTCATATGCTCCAGCTCCTACTCTGAAAGAATGTTTGAAAGAAGTTAGCTTCCATTTAAATTGGAATTGAACTAAACAGCAAGTATCACAGATCAGCAAGTTTACTGTTTAAAAAAAAAAACCCAACCAAGCAACCCCCCCCAAAAATAAACTGACAAAAAACCCCCAGTGAAACAGCTAGTACTAGAACAGATAAATGTGAAGGGTAGAAAACATGCGTAATTACCATGCCACTGAGTAACCTACAGTTTAATGCATTAAAGTATTTTGTGTTATGCTACAGTCAAAATGAAGAATGATAAATAATGCTACTGAAGAAGAATTTACTGTTGGACTTCTCTATACTTCCTTAAAAGTTATTTTCTGGGTACCTCTCTCACCCCAGCTATATAGTATGTAGCTAATACTTTTTATATACATTTATACATAAATAGATAAATGTCTCTAAAAAAAAGTAAGTGATAGTCTTCTTATGTTAAGATACAAGAAAAAGTCTTCCAGTCTTTTCTTCACACTGAATTGTAAATGCACGGTTACAGAACTGTCTCACTCCCCATGTGACAGAGCATAGCACGTTGTTTTACATGGCAAATTGCAGTACTATGTCAAAAATTAATAGGGCAAGCTCTGCCTTAGTATAATATTCTGCCTGGGCTGTTCTGGCAACTGAATTAGGACAGATCTCTGTATACTACTGTAGTGTGCTCTGTAACCATACATGTTATCCTAGATAGAAATTAGTGTGCCCAGATTGCAAATAGGTTAGTGAATTATCTTTAACCATCAGTATTGCTTGCCTGTGTAAATGTAATTGTTTTATCACTTTCAGCACATTATCAGCTGCCTTTATATCTAAGTCCAGAAATACTTGCTGAAATACAGATGCTATGCTAATTTATTGAGATAAAGGAAAATCTTAAAAGTTATGCTGGAGTGCAGAATCATGGTATTGGAGCATATTCTTACCTGGTTTTCATGTTTTCTCATCTGAGAAGAGTAATACATCTAGGTCAAGTCATATGAGAGTATTTGTAGAGGGTTTAGAGAAGGAAAAAAAATATCTCTGGTTCTAAAACAACTACAAGAAGATAACCTGAAGCAGATTATCAAGAGAGTGTTTGAGGCTACAAATAGTTGAAAGATGAACAAGCCATTGAAATGGGAATAGTGTAGCATATGGAAACAGAAGGACATATGAGCAAAACTGAAGTGAGGAAAATTAGGCTTGTTATCAGGAAGACATGAAAGTTTTATAATATAAAGGGGGATGTATAAAACACCAAAGACTTTCTTCCAGCTCCAGAGAGTAATGTAGCAAGTCTATAGAGCTAAGATTTCAAACTGGTGTCTGTTTCCTGTGTCCGTACTGAAACATTGCTCATATCTGAACACTTTGAACCTGAGACTCTTCAGAACCTCCAAAAGTTATAATTCTTATGGCTGACACATCAATTTATTTTGGAACTAACCTGTGTTTTGTTTTAAAACCTGACAATCTAGTTCCTTTGGTGCCTTTAAGTGATATACAAAGATCAAGAATGTATGTACTGAATAATTGCTGTATAAGATGCATTTTTGTTTACTATTACCTATGGATTAGTTGTTCAGGATACATACCTGTTAGGTAGATGATGGCTTCCAAAAGAAGTGCTTCCACCAGGGCCCACAAATAATCTTAAACCTTCTTCTAAAAAGCAAGGGAATTAACATATGTTAGCTTCCTTTAATGTTGCCCTAGCTAAAACTAAGTCATTTTGAATCTGCCAGTTTTGTAACTGATACTTTCAGATGTAAATGTTTTAAGTAATGAAGAACTAAACTTCACATGGTACAGGTTGGGGGAACTGCCTTCCTCATAGATTTGCCACTGCTCTTTTCTTTTCAGGCTTAAAGTAATTCTCTGGGAAAGCTACCCAAGTCGCGCAAGGGTCTTTTTAACTTCTGGGAGACAGGATGAAGCAGAAAATGTCCTTATGATTACAAGCAGCAGAGACTATGACAAGAGTGGGTTTTCATAAGGCCTGTTAATGTGCATCAATTTTCCCTAAGCTTCCTTGTTTATTTCCATACCTTCTGCACTTGAGTCTAAACTGAAGTCTTGAGTCTGCAGTATTTTTTCAACTATGTCATCAGCATCAACTCTGGTAGCATCGACCCTCTTCAGCTGTGACTCCACAGAGTCTTGCTTTACAGGATGTCTGCAAAAATAAATATATTTAGAGCTCTGAGAAGTGATATTGTAAATTGCATTTTACTTCTTCTAGATAAGGCTTTCAAGTGAAGTGTACCTGCAGAGTTTTTCTGATGATGCATCTTTAACAGATGTATCGACATTAGCTTCAGTTACTTTTGGCTCAGTCACTTCACATGGCTCTAGAATACTTCCAATTCCTGTTGAGGTACTCCCCACCGAGGTGTTTCTCCTGTGGCAGAGTTCAGACAGACTGGATGATCTAGAGTGACACGTGCTATAACCTGTTGGGAAAGCATAGGAGAGCTAGATGAGGTATGTTGTTGACAGCCAAGGTCATTACTTATATTTTACCATCCTGAAAGCACAATTTGTGTTTTGTGTTCTTGAAAAGAGACTTCAAAAACCTTACGAATGTATGTGCATACACCAACTAGGCAATTCACTTTGGTTTTTATATTCCAGCACATGCTGTTTTATTTTTTTTTCTAAATAACTCTTGCTTCCTAACAAATACAGTGACTTGGTGTTATTGCTTCCCCTTCAGCTTTTAGAGCTGAGTAAGTATCCATTTGTACGTTATTTGTTTTTACAGATGGAATAGGTAAAAATCTCATTCAGGTATGTTGATTGGAGGGAGCTAAGGGAAAAAGCTGTCTCACATCTGAACAGATAATTCATTGTGCTTTTAAGAGGAGAAAAATTTTACTCTCCTCACACCTAAAACTCCTAGGAAAAAGCTTTCAACTTCAAACTGGTTTTTTTACCATATAAAGTGTGCTTATTTTCTACAGTCTAAAACTGTAAAAGTAAATAAACCCCAACAATTAATAACAAAATTAACAGCTACCTGACAGTTTTGACTGCTGACTTGCATAGCTTGATGTTCTGGAATGTCCACATGCACCAAGTTCGTCTGGGACTGAGGCACTCTTTGATGAGATATCTGCAACATATGCAAGTCAGATACCGTTGCTAAAGCCAGCTTTGTTATTGCATGTTATTAACCCCATGAAAAAACCTCACATTTCAATCTGTAATGAAGTGATTTAATAGTGTTTTTTTGAATAGTCTAAATTTCAGAGTAACTACTTCAATTTTAAACAATACTTAGAACTTTTACCCCTCAAAGTTTACTCAGTTATGCATATCCCTATGAGTCATAAGTTGAAAATCAAATTAAATGCCCAGCCAAAATAGAACTTCAAATCAAGAAATGCATCACACGGAAAATGCAAGATTTTAATTGTGAAAAAGGAGGTAGGCTATCAATTCAATTTATGTTCTTTCTTGCCTTTAAATAGACCGTTACAAAAGTAAGAAAAGAGAGATTCCACTGATGTTATCTAGGAGAGTGTCTCTCAACACGTAATCAAAGAAGGTCCCCTTGTGGGCTAACTGTCAGCATCTCTCTAAGATTTGAAGTATTTTGTACATCTTGAAGCTACAAAACCAGTTATAAAAGAATTGAGAAATTAAGAGCATGATTTTATACCTGCTATTCCCAGATGTACTACTTTTAAGTTTTCTCCACCTTTCCTGTCTTCATACAAAGATTCTGATTCTCCAGCAATTGCTATAGACATTGCTGTGGAAGGAGGCCTGTAAGAAAAAGTGGTTATGATTTGCTGTACTTTTGCTATAATCCCTCCAAATTGATCAGCACAGATACAGATTTTTCTTTTCAAGTAAGCTGGTTTAATTCATACTATGCTTCAAGTTAATAGACTTGTAACTTTTTTCCTGAAAACATGCTGCCTAGCTCCCTGTTTAAAAAAAAAAAAAAAAAAAAAAAAAGCTTTTGCTACTGAGCTTCAGGACGTTGTACAGAATCCATCTGCTCAGCCTTCAGTCCTTCAGGCTTCTGTGGGTCCTTGGAAAGGCTCTTCCTTTTTTTTGATGATTGATGGAGTGAAAAGTGTTTATTTTGAAGTTCTAATTTTTTTTAAGTGTATGAATCACAGGATAATTTATGTGCTAAGAATATATATATAAATTCAGTGCTTCATGGAATACATTACAACATGGTAAGTTAAAATAAACAAACAAACCCGCACAATGCCAGTTGGCCTAGTTCGCTTGTGCACTGTGATGTGCTCCTGGCTTTGGTTCATCTCTCTTACAGTACACAAGGAGCTTCTGGGCTGATAACCCCCCACTCCTAACAAAGTTACCAGATGATTACTGTCTCCAAAGTTACCATGGATATTACCATCTCCATGTATTCCCCTCTAAATTCTACCTCCTGCAAATTAAGAAAAAGCATCATGTATGACATAATTTAAATTTAGTTCCATATTAAATAAAGGATTTAATAAAACTTAACTGCTTGTTTCAGTTTATACCAAGACCCAAAAGGATATTTTATTAGAATGAATAAACCTCTAAGTTTGTGTTTTGCTAGTGCAAAAGAAACCCATTAGAACATGACAAAGTGTAAGTAATCTTCTCTTGCAAGCAAATACAACTAAAATACATTTCAAGATGTTACCTACAGTTTTTTTAATACTTTGTTATTTTTTATTTTGGGAACAGACTGTTGGTCTGCATACAAGTGGATATTTGTTGACATTTTTCGATTTCACATATTCAACAAATTAGTGACTGTCTTTATGCAATAACATATTCCCTCTTATGTTACATTTGGAAGTAGAGAGAAAGTGAAAAAGCACTTTGGGAACTATAATGCTTGTGTGACTTAACTGCCTAACATACATTTGAAAGGAGGAACTGAATGCTTTCAGGAATGTCACCCCAGATCAAACATCAAGACTTCTAAGCTTCTTCATAAACTATGCAGCTGATTTTGGATTTTTAAATTGTTTTGAAGTTTATTTTTCCTTCTAGAAAAAAACATCTGGGTTAGATAAATTTTTTGTTCTGTTTGTGTTGAAAAGTTTACATTCCAGGAAATGGTTGTATCATCAGTTTGGAAGAAAATCCCAAATCTGAATAAATTCAGTTAGAGCTTTTTTCCTAGGGAGCCAGAAAACTATTTAGATACTAATTTCAACTATTTTAGTACCAGTCATTGGTTTATTAACATACAAGGCTAATGATTAGTTAGTTGCCTTTGAGAAATTGTTTATCAGTGTCAATGATATATTTGCTAATAGGCCTGACTTGAAGTAAATCAAGGGGTGCTAAATAGCTAGGGATACTTAAAAGCTTTGCCCAGTCAAACAAATTCAGATAATATCCTCTTACTATTTATTCATTAAGCACAACATGAGATTTCACAATGTTCTGTTCTTATTGAAGGTTAGAAGAAGAGAGGAGAAAGGGCCTTTAGTGGTGCAAGGGGACATTGAAGAGTTCCTGTGGGTGAGTCATCTGAGCTAGACTGGTGCAGGCAACATTCTCGCATCTCCTCAAAAATAAAGGTTACAGCCACAGCAGTAATGCACAGTCTCTCGTTACTCCAGGAAACTGTTCTCGATTGTCCTGATTATGGAAGAACCTACCTTGAACCAGCTACAACCTACAAATCATGATTACTTCATACTTGTACCTCAGACTGAGTTAGGAGATAAGTGCTGCTTTTCTCAGTGCTGCAGCCTCATTTCACTTCAATCTTCTTTACTTAAGGAAGACTTTGGTATATGTTTACTGCTACAGATTAAGGCTGTATGAGATTATTATCCCTCTTCATGGGATTATTCAGAGAGACATTGATTGTCTACATTAATCTGATAAAAGATGAGTTTAAATTCAGTTTATGAGAGTATTTTGAATTAAAAAAACCCTAATACATACTGAAGTAAAAGTGGTTTAGTGGAGCAGTTTGTGCATCCACATCTTTACAATGGAAGAAATGTTTCATCCAACATAAGGTCTGAAAGCATAAATAGAAATTGAGAACCTACACAAATGTTGAGATTGACATAACAAGGGTGAAGCTAGCAATTTTTTCAAGATTGTTTTCCTTAAGCTGATTTTTTCTTTTCAAGTTATAGGTAATATTTGGAACTCTGCCTTAGATTGTTTTGAAAAGGCTAACATGAGAACAAGCATGTTGCAAAGGTCTTTCTAGCCTTGCATCCTGTTTCTGTCAGCAGCAAACAACAGATGCTAAGCGAATATGGCACACATAGTAATGTATCTCCTGAATATTCTTCCAGCATCTCCTCATCTGTAGCTTAGGTATTTCTTGAGCCTCACGAGATGTCTTATACTTCATAGCCCTCCATTTTTTTTTTATTCAGGAATTTGTTTTCTTTCTTGAGCTTTTAGTATTCACATTGTGTTGTAGCAAGGAGTTCCCATCTTAATCATGTGTTGTGGGAAGAAAATACGTCCTCTAATTTTGATTCCATCTCCTACTAATTTCAGTAAAACAACATGGTCAATGAACTGAATAAAGTTTATTTTGAAGGAATTATTTAATCAACCCCCTCCTCCAAAGATATTGTGACAAGTAAAAATAGAGCTAAGTTGGTTTAAACCTGATCTAGACAAAATTGCCATGTACTGTCATATAGAATTAGAAAATATTGACATTAAACTGAAGAGCACATATGCTTCAAGCAACGCAGCCTACCAACATTCTAAGTTACAGAAAAGCAGTGGCATTAACAGTCTTGGCAGGTACTGAGGAATTTTACACACTGCATTCATGGAAGTAGATTCTATACATATCTCTAAGCCTATCCTTAAAATGAATGGCTTTCAGGTTATTATAAAATACCTCTTATAATACAAATGACATGTGAGAGTTTTTTACTTCCTACTGATCAGAATAATTAGGTCATAGTTAGCAATACAGCAATATTCTCTGGAAATAGGAAGCTTATCAGTTGCGCTGGTTCAGTTATTCACTAAGCTATGGGTGCCTCATAGCAAAATGGCTCATTAGTCTAGAAGGAAGGCAACAATTTCATCTTAGTCATGACTAGGTTTTTCCCTAGCATCTGTGATTTTTCTGTCCTGTCACTAGTTAGGGAAGTTAACACGGTCTAGCAAAACTATTACATTTCCTTAACTACAGATTGAGGACAATGAGCCCAAAGGATCCTGAATACATAGCAGTGTATTTTCCTAGCTACCTCCTCACTCAGATGTTAACTCTTACATCTTTCACTAGGTTGCATAATGTCTTTGCTAACCAAGCATCTCTAAGTGCTTTCTCTTGTACTATCGTATCACACTTCTGGTTTTGTTTTTTTTTTTTTTAAATAAATATTTTAAAGTCATCTGAGACTTACTTGTGAATAAAAGGTGTAACAGCACATTTTCCAAACACAAGTATTAGTCAGATCACCCTATACAAAGTGTATTTATATAAGCTTGCTGCAGGAACAGTTTCCCTTAAGTGTTTCATTTATTTATTTATTTATTTATTTTTGATTAGAGATGTACAGGCTACTGTTCTTTGCTTGAAAATATAGTAAATATTTAACAGCAGGGAGAACTGATAGTTATACTGGTATTTTTACCATGTTAGGCATTATTCAGCTACCACCCCACTTTTTTTTGTGCCCCCTTTTTTTTTTTTAACATTATTGCCAGATTGGAGAGATTTTTAAATGCAAAGTAGTGTAATTCTGGACACAGAATGACCAAAACATTATCCCACAGAGATTTTTTTTTTTAATTAACTTACGTTTTAAAGCATGGGTCTCCAGACATTAGCTGCATGTTGATCAAAACCTACACATTGAGAAAACAAAACCTACTGTAAGAAAAAAAAAAAAAAAAAGGAACTAGTCTGTGATACATGGTCATATCACTATGTTATACTTGCCAGAAATCTTACATTTAAGTAAAATAAAATGGCATCATCACATATGGAAATAAACACATCTGTGCAAAAACCTAAATCTTTTTTTCTTGCTACATGTGCAAACAACAAAAAAATTGCATTTAAAGTGACATGGTTGCACGTAGAAGACTCTGCAAAAGATAAATAGATCAAGAAGAACCTTAGGATCATTAATAGTTAAGATGGCTTCAAGGGAAAAATAAAGAGATAGGAAATCTAAAAGATTAATGAGCAAACAGAATATTGTTTAAAACAGCAGGTGCTGAAGTGTGTTCTTTGCTGAGAGTGTTTGGCAAACTGCTAGCGTACAAGAACTGGTTGTGCTAACATGAGAGATATAGTAAAACCACAAAAGGTAAATAATGCCATAGGACAACAACGCATTGAGAAGGCTTGTGAGCTGGGTCAAAGCCATCAATTCAAAGTTTTCTGGAAAAAGTCTATGATTGTCTTAAAGACATCAGAAAATGCATGCTTAAACGCTACACTCAGTAGTATAAGAAATTAATCCTAGTGTGTTGGTAGGAAAAGAAGTTTTAAAAAATTTACTTGTAACATTCTGTGTGTAATTATTCTCAGGTTAGTGCAGCTTATGCAATTTTTTAAACTCCCTGGACTAATGGGAGAGAATGGCAGGCTTTCTTCCAACAATGCTCACCAATTGTTACATTGATTACTATCAAATAAAAAAGGGAAAGTTCCAGGAGCTGGGGAGGTGTTAAAGCTGGCTTATACATAAATAAGCCAATTAAGAGATTCACTCTTAGAAAAACTGCACAGGAAGTTGCCCAGTCTTAAACATATAATTGCAGCATTTATATGAATGTATTAATTTTTCATCATGCTTCCTTATTCAATTTTTCAATTCCTGTTAGAATAGGAATACCTTTTGAAAGCTTTTCTTTTACAGCTATCCAGCTCCATTCCAAAGAGTTTTAAATTTCATTAAGTGCTTAATAATACCACTTGTTCTCTGCTTTATTAATTCAAGTATGAGAAAGGAAGCAAATTACTTTCAGAATGGAGTTATCCTGTCTTGTATTTTTGGTATCATAACCTTCCAGTAAACAGCGACGAGTGGTATTTCCCGATCCAGCAAACTCTGCTAGATTTAGATCTGCAAATCCCAGCTGTTAAGAGAAAATAACAACGTTAGTAGTAAGCATATTACTAAATGAAGGTACTTGCTACATGCACAGTATTGAGTGCCACTTAACAGCAGCTCCTCTCAAATATGAATAAGAGGATGCCCATTAAAAGGAGTGGCCCAAGGCAAAAAGCAGAGAACAAACTTTGATGTCAAATTCTCCATAGTTCTATTTTCAGTTAAAAATTAAACTCTCAAGAGAAAAAAGAACAAGGAGAGTTTCTTTTATTTTTAAAAGTAAACACCTGCAGAAGGGTTTACTTTTGTCAACCATTTCAACTACTTAAATTGAAAAAAAAAATCTGGTGGTATAATATATGCTTATTAAACACACTGCTCAAGAGTTCCAACACCACTGTGTCACTATAGTGCACATAATGAAATCATGGGTATTAGAGTACTGTTCTGGAATTACTTTAAAAGGGCATAAAATGACAAGAAACAAAAGCTAATTCATAAGCAAAATTAGATACATCTCAATTTACCTTTGCATATGCCTTTCCTCCTTTTAACTCCTAGAAAAAAAAAATGAAAAAAAGACATGCCATTAAGCTATTAAAGATCCTGACTGGGTTTTTTGTTTGTTTGGTTTTTTTTTTTTTAAAATGCAAATAGTAATCTTCATTTTCAAATAGCTCAACACACATTTGTTAGGCTGTACTGTTGTCATTTAGAACTTCGTATTAAGAACGTCATTGGTGCAGGCCAGCAGGAGACTGTCATTTTGTGGAGGGGCAGAAGGGTGAGTGCCTGATGCCGACCAGTGTTTGGTAAATAAGTGTTCTTTTCAATAAGTACGTAAAAAAACATGAATTAGTGAAACTATGGTAATTAATAAGATTACTACAAAAAATTTTAGAAGAAGAATACCTGACATGATTACAGCTAAAATTTGCTTTATGAAATTTATCAGGCATTTAAAAATTAAACCAAAACAATAGAAGAAAGAGCAGGGAAAAGAGGAGAGAAGGGAAAAAGAGCTCCTTACCTTCCGTACAGATACCCTGCAAATGCAAGTATCCAGAATCCCTGTAGTGGCACTGGCGCTGATTTTACACATAAATAGGAACTTTTTGTTCCAGCGGACACAGTTTGCCTGTACTACCTCCCTACAAATAGAGAACATATTCTTACTATCAGTTGCTTATACATTCAGGACCATAAAAATGCAATAGGACAGCTCAAGACACAGGCAGTAGAACCAGTGATTGTAGAGTGGTCACTTCATGCAGAATCTGTTCCAAGGCCTGAATAATCATCCTTCATTCTTCTCTTTGTGTAAGAAGACTAATAACTGTTTCAAGCCTTGATCACAATATTAGACCTACAGAAAAATTCAACAACTACATGTTTTTGCAAATCAAGCAGACTGTGATTTCACCAGTTTGCCTCAGGAATTAGACCTACAGAAAAATTCAACAACTACGTGTTTTTGCAAATCAAGCAGACCGTGATTTCACCAGTTTGCCTCAGGGGAGTGAAGTCTTCCTGAACATTAGCTCTCAGGCATTGTCTTCCAAGCTGCTGAGCTTTGGAATGTACTGAAGATACCGTCTTTGCCAAGTAGTTATCCAATACAGAGAAAGGGAGCATCGTACAAGCAGAATTAAATAAATTTGAGGCCTGGTAAAATACAAAGGAGATGATGTACAATAACCATATTCAAAGTAATGCACTTGGACCAAAAAAGAATTTCAGCTACATATTGGGAGCTTGCCATTTGAGAGCAAAATAAGACAACTAATATCTGAATGGATTTGTTCAGCACAGGAGGATTACAACCTGACAGTATGATGCAGCTGAGAAAAAGACAAAATGGAGGATGCTTTCAGCTAAATTGATGTCATTATGTAAGGCTCAAATGGAACAAAATCTGTTTGAGTAACTCTGGTTGAGCAAGAACAGACTCCAGAATGAACAGGTGCAGGGAGGACAACTAGAAAGCTCCTTTATCTTGTAAGAAAAAAATACATATAATAAAAATACATTAGTGGTTCAAACACTTTAGAGACCAAATAAACTTTAAGTCAGAAGAAAAGCAGCTAGTACCAAAATAAGGCATAATCCAACACCCATTTAAAACTGAAAATTACAAGGTCTCAAACCACAGTGCAAGTTTCTAGAACAGCCTCAAATAAGAGAAGTAGGAGCAAAAAAATCTTACTGTGATTAAGGAAAAGGTTGGCCAGTTTGTCAGTAACAAGCTATGTAAGGACTGTGATTCTGAGGGACCTGCCTCAATGATCAAAAGCTCTTTCTTAGTCCCTTGTTTGTAAATTCTGAACTTGGATCTGTGGAGAAACTGTGATAATTTCTTCTACTGCTCTAATCATTGAAGTACAGTCTTTACATATTAAAGTAATATTTGTACTTCTGTTTCTCTTCCATTTTCCAATACTTACATTCCTATGTTTTTTATTAACTTCATACAGCAGATTATTATTGAAGATCCAGTCTGATATCTTTAACAGAGGTAGGATTCTATGGCTCCACTTAAGTTGGAGTCGGAGTTTATCACCTGTGGAGAAATGATGACTTGCAAGGCTCACGCAAAAGCTCTGATTTGCTGTGCTGGTAAGGCTGCCAGCTACAGCGTTTACTGGCACCAGGACTTGGTAATGTAGGAATAACCTAGCCTGCTTGAAATGAGTCAGTTTAATGACCACAGACTAACGGATTCTGATGATACAACACTGAGTCATATTCAAACATGTGACCTAAAACGAACAGCCTCTGTAGTCCATGAGCTATGGTTTATCCATTATGTTTTATATCATAAACTTTCCTGTGCTTTGGAAAAAAAAATCCCAAACTGCCAGTATGTGAATTGGTTAAATCCAAAATAGAACCTGAATTCGAAAAAGGCCATTTACTAACAGTTACATCCTCTACTGGAAACCAGCTCAAGCAAGAGGTCATCAAGTAAAATACAACCTTAAAGGGATACTTGATAACTGCTAACATTTGTTACACTTAGAAAGCGTAGGAATAACTATTGTAGCACTTACGTGATAGTTGCTCAACCCTCAGGTAAAGAAAATAGTCAACTAGATGTCCACTATCGAGCAGAACACAGCTATCCAAGTGCTTGGGTATCTAGGGTCTGCATATTTGTAGGTTTCATACACTGTACCTAAAGATAATGCAGCTTCTGAGGATGCTCTTTTTCTGCAGATCACAGTGGTCCAATAACTTAGAAAGCAAAGAACTTTAAAAAAAAATAAAAAAGGGAGATTTTCTAAGTAACATTTTGAGCTTATCCTAAAAATGAAAAAATTAAAGGTCCTCTTCTCTTAAAAACATCACCACATCAAAATCAGTTTTACCTTTTTCTTGAGCTGTCTAGCTACAAATTTTTGCTTCAAATAGAGAAGGGCTATTTATGTCATTACCTTAAGTCATTAAATTCAGTATTGTACTCTGATCTGTCAACAGTGCTGTCAGGGTAGACTGAGAATACTAGAAGCTCTAATGAAACAATACTGATGTCCTGTTGTGAGCACCAGAAGCAATAGGCCTGCATTGATACTGAAAAACAACAGGCTTGTTCACACCCTCACTCCTGCTGGATCTTAGTTTTAGCACAGCACTCTAGTTAAAAAAACTCTGCATTAAGGGGTTAATTAAAAATGCTTGTCATAAAGTGATGATTGTAGCCGGCTCTCTGTTTTACTGGACTTCAAAGAGTTACCAAAATTAAATCTTATCATAAATATCTAATCAATACTAAAATGCAGGCAATTATACAAACCTTTATTAAGTTCTAAAAGGGAAGAACTCTTAACAATCCTTTGACTTAAGCTCTGTCTGTAGTCTCAGATCACAGCATGTCAGCTATGGCCCTGAATCGATAGGGAGCCTGTATTTGCACGTTACTATGCATCCAATAGCACCTGCAAGACAATCCAGTCTCGGGTGTCCTTTTGGAAACTAGAAGCATTGTAGATTTTTTGCTATTCATTATAAGGCTATAAAACAATGCTACAAGGCTGAAAGTGTTCACTTGTCATCCATAAAGGTCAGAAAATCCCTTCTCATAGCACCTGCTCATAAAGCAAGTAGGACAGTTGTCATCACCCTTACCATCCTTCTGTTATCACCCAGGATACCATTGGGACTACCAGTAACAGAATCACTTCTCCTCCTATTAATCATTTCACTAAGTTCTTGTAGTGTTTTTACATCTGTAATATTTACAGTTATTAATAATACTTCTTCCTACAAATAATGCCTTTGATGTTCTAGATGTATCTGTAAACTCATAAGGTCAAAATAATGTACTGAAATCTTTGTACAACTTAGTATTATGGTTCAGGTTATGTTTCTGCTTTTCAGAACAGCTTTCCACCTCTACAGCAAGCTACAGTCAAAGCAGCTTTACGTTGTACAGTCATATAGTGGTCCAGATATCACTAATATTATGGTAAAAGATAATTCAGTCAACATTAAATGTAGTAATTTTTGCTTCTAAGTACAAGACAGATGTAAGTAACCTCTGCTTGATGAATGTAAGTGTCCTTAAAACCTTTAAGGATCTTGGAATTTATTTCAGCATACCAATACTACTATATGTGTATAATTGTTCAAGTAAGGAAGATAGCACAAAAACAGTACAGTTTTGGAAGACTCAATCCACTCATGTCACAGGTGAGGATTTATTCAGGAAAATAATTTCATAAACACTAAATAGGATGATCAGGTTTTTAAGTTCTCTTATGAACAAGAAATTAAAAGTTACAGTAAAAATGCCTTAGTTATAGATACTGATGCTCTAATTCTTGTAAAAATAAAATCAGGTAAAACTAGGAATACCCCTTCCTCCTCATAAGGACCTCAAAAAAGTATCACTAGTTTCTTTAACTGGCATATTGTCACTTTTTTGTAAAAAACAAGATATTTGAAACATTTGTACACAATGTGCAAAATAACCCAAATCACCCCTCCCCACCCCAAACAGTTCTTCTAATTCTGTTACACAAATAAAAAATTAATATATTTTATTGAAGGTAATCTTTGTGTGAAGAAAAACACCAGCAAGTTATTCCTCTCATGAGGAAAAAAACAAGTCAAATAATCAGAACATTTAACTTTTAAGAGTCATATCTAAGTTTCTGAGATTCTTAGTTCAAGTGCAAGGCCTTTAGAAAATAAACAGTCATATTGATTGGTTACTATGGAAATGAACCCAGATAACTTCTTGACAACTGTGTCTGTGCTACAGGGCATGCTGGAGAAAGCTTTCCGTTATGAGTCAGTTTCCTATGAGCCTCACACTCACTTTACCACGTGTAAAGCAAAACCAGTTGTTTTATGAATCAAAATACATCTCGGTTACTAGGATGCATTCAGATACATACTAGGTTTTCATGCTTTGGTTAACGAATCCTGTCAGGAAGACCTAACCAAGAATAAATTGAATAGACAGATATTTTAAGATAAACTGACTCCAAAGTATAGTTTATGTTACCGTCAGTTTAACAAATTAAGTGTTTTTTCTTTAGGACAATTTCACATTGGCTAAATTTCAAATGCAAAATTTCAGCTGTTGACAAGCCTTTTTCTGTATTTATTTTATGTACTGTACACAATTGCAGTTTAGAATGATGAATAAGTCTTGTTTTTTCTCTTCTGATCCACAAAAGAGAAATCGACAACAAACCCAATACAAAAGAAATAACAAATCCCAATCCAATCAACTCCTCATCCTAATTTATTAACAAGTGATTGTTCTTCTTTTCTTTTTTTTTTTTTTGAAGGTGTTTGTGACCAGCAGATTGTTTTTTCATTTCCACATGGATAAAGGATATACGACTAATGGCTTGGCTCAGCAAATAGCCACAAATGCAAAAGTAAATCATTTTTAAGGACCGTAAGGGTCATGGGAAAAATCCCTTCTTGCCAAATGGAAAAGCTTTAGCAGGAGAGGCTTAGAAATAAAAAAGCCAAAACTCCTTACAGGCATTTACCAAAATACTGCGTTCCGCTAATAAGAAAAATGTTTATTCAAGTTTTTATCTGAATTATTCTAGACAGCCAATTTTAAGATTTAGCCATATGGGGATGATTATGTTAAACAGATTGTTTTTCTAGTGCAATTATTTTAGAATCATTGGTCACCAAAGAAACAAAAAATTGGGAGCATTTGTTTCCAGTTTTAGGATGCCTTTCAGTCTTTGTATCAGACTACTTTCACATGAAATGACTTCTAGGAATACTTTTGGAATCAGTTGGGTCAGTACACTTCTTTACGTTAAGGAAAAGGGTGTTTACTCATACTTCTTACAGCTTTTGTACAGAATGTGAGTTACCTATTTGCTATAAATACCTTGAAAAAATAGCTTTTTTCACTCCATGAGGTAAATGGGAATATTCTTGTTATAATTTTTCTTTTTTTTAAAGCTGGCAGTTTCATGGAAAGGTTACTTTGGACTTCTAAGAATTGTTGAGACCAGGTTCTTAGAGTCCCAAGTACAGTGAATAAAATGCCTTTAGAAGAGTTCTCTGAGTGAGTGCAACTTTTCCAATATTGCCTAAGTTTTGCTTGCTTCTTTTAGGGGAGAAATGTATCATGTTGATGAGACAGCACAAGAGAA